GGCAGAGGAAGGCAGCCCTGTCTGCAGTGCCTGCAGGATCCATCCTGCCCCAGAGCCGTGCACATCACAGGCAGGATTCCCGAGGTCCTGACCCCGCTGTCAGGCAGATCCCAGAGATCTGTTAATACTTGGGAATGCGCCTCTGGAGCGGGGCCTGCTCCACGGGCATGGCCCCTGTGCTGCCCTGAGCACCAGAGAGCAGTGGGAACCCATCCCAGTGCAGGGAGCCATCCCCTCACCGCCTCCAGGACAACCAATTATGAGGATATAATTAAACTTTCCAATAGTATTTTGATTTCTGAGCCCCCCCTGCTTCCCCTGCTGTCCATCTGAGGGGTGTTGGGGGTGAGGAGTGGCTCTGGGTGGTTTGCAGCTGTGCCAGGCACTGCCCATAGAGCCTGCAGGAATTAATTGCTTAATTCGCAAGCATTCATTCATTTATCCCTCCCGTAATTCCCTGGACAGCGAGGTTGGCTGCAGCAGGGGGCTGGTGGTGGGCCTGGATTATGGGTGCAATTCCAGGAAAGGAGCCTGCAGCTCTCCCTGAACCCTCACTCCTCACAGGTCCAGGGCCCTGCTCCCACTTCCCCATAAACATGGCTCTAGTCCTAAACAATGTTTGGAGAGGGCAAATGTTGCACTATGTTCATGGAAAATGAGCCGAGCCTTGCCATGCTCCCCTTTTCCCACTGGTGAGATGGATCCCAGCAGGATGTCAGGGAAAATCATCCAAAGGATGTGAAATACATGGGATATCTTAGAACAGCTGCACTGCCCCGAAACCTTCCCGTCCTGCTGTTCACCTTCCTGCGATAATTACGGAGAGGAGAAAAAATCCCCCCCTTCTCCTCTCTGCTGCCTTGCAAACACCCCACATCCCTACCCAGAACACGGTGCTCCTCTGCTCCCCGTTTGTGCATTTATCACATCCATAAACCTCACTGAAACGCGTCCATTTCATGGAGAGGGGAAATCAGTGCTCCACACAGCGGAGGTGACGCTCAAGCCCCCCGAGCGGGAGCGGGGCACCCACCGTGGAGCCAGGCTGGAGACCTGGCTCTGGCACCGTGTCCCTGCCCATGGCACCGGGGCCGGGTGGGAAGTGCCAGCACCTCCTCTGCGTCTCTGCAGCCGCTACCAGCTCGAGGCCTGCAGCCCCCGGAGGGCAGAGCGGGCTCGGTGTACCTTGTCCCTGCAAACCACCCTCGGGACTCTGCGCGGGGGCAACAGGCTCTGCCCCTCCTCCTCATCGGCCAGGTCCCCTCTCGCGGGGGATTTAACCCTGGGCGCTGTGCGGCGCCGGGGGATCCCTGCGGGAGCGGCGGGCACAGCCCCGGGCAGCAGCGTCAGCCCTGTCCCGGGCAGGAGGGACAGCTCCGGTGCCATATGGCACCCGCTGGGACGGGCACCGCCGGGCCAGGTGACAGATGGCAGGTGGAGCAGGGCTGCTCCCGGCGGCACAGCCGTGCCAGGCGCAGCGGCCCATTCCAGCCGGGAGAGGGGAGGGGGGGTGCTGCAGGCCCCGGGCAGAGAGCCCTGCTGCCGGGGAATTCGCTCCTGCCCGGTGCAAGGTTATTCACACTGCACAGGGACTGAAACACGGAGTGCACAGCCCGGCGCCTCCTGGGGCTTGGGAATGGGGGATGGGATGGAATCCTGCCGAGGTTGAAGGCTCGTGCTCCAGCACAGCTCAGACAGGACAGAGCAGGGGTTTGCTGTTGGTCACTTGTCCACACCAGCCCAGGGACAAGGGGTGGGAGCAGCTCCCCGGCCGCGCCCCCCGCTCCCCTACTCCCTTTCCCTGTTTTCCTGCTGCAGGGATTGCACAGACACTGCTTCCATCCCACCGTTCATTATCTCTGTCTCCTGGAACAGCAAACAGGGAAATGTGATTAAAGCCCTGTCGCAGGGAGCTTATCAGCCTGTGGGAAGGCCATGAGCTCCCTCCTGCCGGGAGAGCATCCCTGGCGCGGCCGGGGTGTCCTGTGACTCCTGCTGCCTTCAGCCCACGGTGGGATGTGACCTCTGCAGGTGGCGGGCAGGAGTGAGCCTGTGGGGCAGGAGGGAGGCTGTGGGGAAGGAGTGAGGCTGTGGGGCAGGAGCCTGTGGGGGAGGAGGGAGGATGTGGGGCAGGAGGGAGGCTGTGGGGCAGGAGTGAGGCTGTGGGGCAGGAGTGAGGATATGGGGCAGGAGGGAGGCTGTGGGGCAGGAGTGAAGCTGTGGGGCAGGAGTGAGGATGTGGGGCAGGAGAGAGGCTGTGGGGCAGGAGAGAGGCTGTGGGACAGGAGTGAGGATGTGGGGCAGGAGAGAGGCTGTGGGGCAGGAGTGAGGATGGGGGGCAGGAGAGAGGCTGTGGGGCAGGAGGGAGGATGGGGGGCAGGAGGGAGGATGTGGGGCAGGAGGGAGGCTGTGGGGCCGGAGGGA